TCTCTCTCTCTCTCTCTCGCTTCGTCTCCGCATGGAGAAGCCGCGAGGATGCTCGCCAGCCACTGTGCATATTGTCTCCTGCCATTTTTTGTGTTGCTGTTCCGTCTCTCTTCGTTGCCTGTGTGTTCTGGCGACGCCGGATAGGTGTAGTGAATGCCATATACATCGCCGTCAGTGCCCGCGCACCCAATGCGTGACTGGGCTCCCCCCCACCGCCCACTTGTTCGCTTCCTCCTCGCCTTCCTCCTCCTCCTCGCCGCTGCCGCGCCGACGTCTGTCGTGGTGGCGAAAGAGTGCACGGTGAAGAAGGGCATGCGGGCGTGGAAACACGATGGCGGCTCGTTTCTCCGAGATGGGACGAGCCTCACGTGGCACGAGGTGGACAACAGCGGTAGCCGCATCGCCTCCTTCACGGAGCACTCACGACAGGAAGGCCAAGTGGTCCTCTTTGACGAGCGCCGCAACATGCACCTGCTGCTGCGCTCCGACCTCTGCGCGGTGCGGAACAACGGGGAGCAGAACTTCCGTCAACTGTACGCAGGGAAGTTCCTCAAAACAGTCGACTGCACGTAGCGCGACTACGGGGCCTGCTTGGGCGTCTGCAATCTGTGCAGTAGCAGAGGCTGGTGTTGTGTCACTTGCGTGAATTTACCCGCCAGAATCCGAACACAGCCGAATCTACGTCACTTTTTTTTTGTTTTTTGCTCTGTGCATATGTACTGATTCCCCACACCTTGGCCTCCTTGTTGCTTCCATTCTTTCATGCTTTTTTTTCTGCGACCATTAAGAGGGAAGAAGGGATCGTTTGTAGTGGTGGTGGTGGTGGCGGCGGCGGTGGGGAATAAAAGAAGAGAAAGACTAACATAAGGCAGGCGCTCCAACCGCGGACCCGCACGCATGCGCAAATGTCTCCTTAGTCGACACGGCCGGCTCAAGTACCCGTTGGGCAGCGGCTGCCTCGCGGTCGGGCACGACCTCCACCCGCTCGTGCCCAGCAACGACCTGTACTACGACCCGCCGAAGCTGCGCCACCGCCTCGACCGGGACGCCTACCTCTACTTCAAGAATGTCATCCCGCGCACCACACTCAACACCGCGCTCGACGAGCTGGCGCAACAGATGCTACAGTGCGGATGGACGCGCGCGGAGGACCGGGCGCGACAGGCGGAACACGATGGCGTTGCCCTTGGCGTGCCGTTCCCGTCTAGCGGGGAGCTGCCGCCGCCGCGTATCACGTACACCGAGTCGCTGCGTGCGGCGGTGAGCGGGACCAGCGTGATGGCGCTCGTGCGGCAGGTATTCGGCGGCGCCGTCAACGTGTGCGACGTGCAGACGTTGCACCTCGGAGCCCCGCAGGAGACGTTTGGTCATCGCATGTCAAGCGTGTACCTCAACAAGGGGACGAAGCTGGCGCTCGTGGCACTCGTCCCGCTGCATGACATTCCACTCTACATGGGCACGCCGGTGGTGGTGAAAGGGAGCAACTCCACCGACACGTACGCGGCGTTGCGGCAGACGTATGGTCAACACGAGGTGGAGAGTGGCGATATTCGCGGCGACGGATGCTACACGCACGACCCACAGGAGCTGCTACCGCTCGGCAAGCAAGCTGGTATCGATGAAGTGACGGGGCGCGCCATCACAGTAGACGTCAACCCCTTCCTCTCTGCATCGTTGGAGGTTGGCGACGTGCTGCTGATGACGGTGTATACCATGCACAGCTTCCTCACCAATACCACGAACTGCTGGCGCATCATGGCGGAGGCGGTGTGGACGATGGAGGGTGACGACGTTGGGCCGGACCCGCGCTACGTGGGCGCCAACGCCCCCGGCCTGAGCGGGTGGTACGCCGACCGCGACGATGTGGCGAAGTACCCCCGTACGATGGATGAGGCCAAGCGGGCGTGGGGACTGCTACCCGGTGTGCCATCCGACTGATTCGACTGGGGGGGGGAGGTCTAAGCAGGATGGGAAAGTGGAGACTGTTGAGGAGGAGGAGAGAGAGAGAGAGGAGGAGAAAGAGAAAGAGAGGGGTGAACTGGCTTCACCGTTTCTGTCTTGTTCACACTTCATGTCATTCTCTTCTGCGCCGTACTTGCGCAGAGGAGGGGCTTCTCGCCTGCTGGGGTTGACTGTGTGCAGTGTGGCTGCGCGTATCCTTTAGTGCCTTCCACAATTTTCTTTTTATTTTAGCACAGCACGTGGGAAAATAGAAATAGCAACGAAAAAGGAACGCTATAGATAACGAGAGTGAGGAGGATATAAAGACACATTTCCCTGCGGTACTTGTAGTGGGTGTCTTTTACCTGAATCCCCCACTATCATTGCTGCTGTTATGTATCGTTACCCACGTTACGTCAATGGCCTCTCTGTGGCATCCGTTGTGGTGGCGCGACGCCACTTCTTCGGCGGCGGCAAGGCGGCTGACAATAACAACAACAAGGAAAAGGGGAGCAGCAGTGGTAACGACAACGGAGTGCGTGGGATCTTCGGCGGCGGCGGCGGCGGGGCAGGCGGTATGCCGCCTGGCTTTGATGCGGAGAAGCTGCGGGCGATGCAAGAGCTGATCAGCAGCCAGCCGCCCGAGAAGCAGATGGAGATGATGAAGAAGGCGCTGGAGTTTCAGAAGACGATTGGCAAGATCCCGGGGATTGGCAAACTTGCACAGAAAAACATTGAGGTGATGGAGCACCTGGTGAAAAATGTGCAACAACAGCAACAGGAAACAACAAAGCCGGTCACCTCTGGAAGCTCGGAGGGCCCAATGAGTGGGAAGAAGACCACGTTTGACAACTTCTTCCCGGCACAGAGCGCCGCCGCTGGAAGTAGCTCTGGCCCCACCATTGACGAGCTGAAGAAGATCAACTTGGGCTCAGAGATCGAGGCCCTCTTCGCCGAGCTCAAGGTGATGCGGGCGAAGAAGAACTCGTATCGTGACAAACTCTTCGCTAGAGAAGAGGAGCTGGAGAAGGCGCACAAAGAGCTTGCGCAGATACGGGAGACAGATGCCAGTCTGCGGGCGAAGTTGCGGAAGGTGGAGCAGGAGGTGATGCTGATCAACTCCGAGAACATGGAGCTCAGGGAGCACGAGATGGAGTGGCGACAGGTGCGGCAGAAGAACAAGGAGCTCACCACAGCCGTGGAGAGGATGCAGCACAGCGACGCCGCGCACGACAGGCAACGCAGTGATGTGCTACAGGCGCAGTTGCGGGAAAAGGAGGATGCACTACGCTCCCTGCAGCGAAAACTTGAGCGTCTGCGCCGGCGTGACGCGCTGCTGCAGTTTTCACGTCTCTGCAGCGATGTGGCGCGGCTCTGCGACGCGTCGCGCGATGTCGCAAAGGACGCCTCCGACGAAGCGTTCGCCGCGCTGCAGAATGTCTACGAGGAGGAGCAGGAGCGCGCGTGGGCGGCAGCGGCGGGGCGGGACGGCGCTGCCGCACATGCCTACGTTGCGGTTGTGCGGCGCTTCTTGTTGAGCCGCGTTCCACACGCCAACTACGACGCGCTCGTTGCTGTTGAGGGCGATGTGGAGGCGCTGCGAGGGGTGGCCGCCGGCATGGGCTTCACGCTGCACCACATGTCCAATGAGCGATATATCATCAGTGCGCCGGCCATGGTGCCTGCCCCACCGGCGTTTCTGGGCCCGTACGGCATCAGTGTGGGGCTGTACCTGGCCGGAAAGACGGCAACGGCAGCAGTTGGAGCGGAGCAGGAGGCACTCCCGTTTAGGCTTACCGCAGTGTTTCCCAACGTAAGTTTGACGCTCTTCAGCAACCCGAAGCGGGTCTCAGTGCACTTCGACACGGCGCGCTCAAGCGGCCCAGGTGGGCAGGCTGCGAATGTCACGGAGACACAGATCACGGCAAAGCTATCGATTGACGGCGAGACAGCGTATGTGGCGGAGGCGCAGGACTCGCGCAGCGCTCTCAGCAACCGAGAGACGGCCATGGAGAAGTTGGAAAAGGCGCGCCGGCAACAATTTAACGAGCAGCTGGCGAAGCAGCAGCGTGTGGAGGGTGTTGAGCAGGAGCTGGTGCGCGTTATCCGAGAGCAGAACGCTGCCAGTAGCAACAACAGTGATGGTGGTAGCGGCGGCGGCGGCGGCACTATTGTTGACGTGGCACCTGCCGCGGTGGTGGAGGTAGTCCGTGACGCGGTGGCGAAGGGCCACATGTCGCGTGTGGAGTTGGCGCTTGTGTATGGCATGCGGCATCTGAGCCACGCAGCAGCTGCAACCAGGCAGTCTGCACCAACACAGTAAGACTGCGGTGGCTCTACTCGAGACACACATATACACACATACAAGGGCGGCCGATTTTTTTTTTTGTGTGTTGTTGTTGTTGTTGTTATGTTCTTTCCTTCTCCTGTTGTTTTTGTGCAGCTGCGTGTGGGCGTATGCCGCGCGGATGTGAAGGTGGGGGGTGGGGGAGAGACGAAGAGAAAATGAATGAAGCAAAACACCAAAAAAAGGGACCCACAAGATGAATGAAACCCAAAAAAAAAAGGCAATACATATGACAGAATAATGTGTGTGAAAGGGCGTGGGTGGGGCTTGGGGGGCCTCTGGTTGGAATAACCATGGCAAGTGTGTTTTCTACAACTGTAACAATTCCGTTGATTTCAATGTATTGTCCCTTCTCTCTATCTTTTTACGCATCCACTCGCATAATGCCACTCCGTGTGAGTGCGTGTGTGTCTGTGTGTGTGTGAGAGAGAGAGAGAGTGCGCCCAAACTAATGTAAGCATGTACTACTGCCATCAGTGTCTCCGTTTTTACCGCTCCCATGCTCCTCTCGAGGGTCTCGTGCACTGCGAAATGTGCCACTCGCCGCTCATTGAGGCGGTGACGAATGGAGGGCAACGCGAAGAACTTGAAGCGCTGCAGCAGCGGCAGCGTATACAGCAGCAAGGGGAAGAGCGGCGTAGTTCGTCACTTCCTTCTCCTCTAGCAGGAATTCTCTCACAACTGTCTGGCACGCTCCTCAACTCCGTCGGCTTCGTTGCCCCGACAATCATGCTGGAATACGCCATTTCGGATGTGCCGGAGCATGCCGCTCAGCGCCGCCCGCCTGTTGACGAGCTGATGCGCTCCTTCGTCACCTTCCCAAGCGGGTTGCACGAGGCCGACCGCGCCGCGCACCCGGAGGCCTTTGCGGAGGCGACGTGCCGCATTTGTCTCGAGGCACTTGCGGGCGGCGCGGACCCCGTCGTCATGCTGCCGTGCCGCCACTGCTACCATGCCAACTGCATCAAGCCGTGGCTGCAGGAGCACTTGCGGTGCCCGCTGTGCCGCGCCTCCGTTATCTCGCAGGGCACGGCGGCGCAGAGCGACCAATATGGAGAACGCCAGCAGCACCCAGGGCATGAATGAGGGCGATGAGACTGGCCTTGGTGTGTGTGTGTGTGTGTGTGTGTCTTTGTCCTTATCGGTGTTTTTCCATTGCTTTCTTGTGTTGGCAAACCCGGTGAAGCAGTGGGCGCGGAAGAAAACAAAGACAGCGAGTGAGATGCGTTGCCCTGCAACGAGCAAAGCGACGAAGAAGAAAACAGAGAAAGGTTGGGCCTATATACGTATAAAGAAATATATATATATATACATACATGTATATGGAGTGAGACAGAGTACCCCATTCACTTGGCTCCCTTACTGCCATTACGCTTTCTTTGTGTCTGCGCTCGTCCTTTTCTTTTTCTTTTCTTTTTGTTATTATTATTATTATTGCCCTTTGTGCCTTGGCCCCACGTCACCACGCTCACGCCTCCGTGTGCCGCCGCCGCGGTGAGTGGATCATGCCCAATGGCCTCCTCCGTCACGGCCCTCAGCCCCTCTTCCCCTTCCGCGCCGGTCTGCCACCATGTTCCCACGCTCCCTTTCACATGAAGACACTCGCACACATTCCCTCTCTCTTTCTCTCTCTCCCTCCTTCTGTCTATCCTTCTATCTCTCTCGTGCAGAGCACTATTCGCAAACAATAGGAGGCACGACCGATCAGTGGCATGCAGGGCAATTCCAAGATCTACGGCGGCGTCGTGGTGCGTCTCAGTGACCGGCTCATGTTGTGCAAAGCCCCTGGCTGCCCCACCAGCGATCTTGCCATCCCGGGGACGGCGTGGGCAGATGTCGTCAGCAAATGTTCTGCGCCGAACTTCCGCACCACCACCCTCGTCACTCTGAATAACAGCGAAGCGGCGTCGCTCAGTATCCCTGCTGAGGGCGCAGAAGCCGCAGCGGCAGGGCCCAACCAGCTGTCGTGCCACATCATGACGGACAACGATCTCGCCTTCGCCATCCTCGCGGATACGGCGGTGGGGCGGCGGCAGGGGCACGCCGCACTGGACGAGGCAGCGAAGATGTTCCACAAGATGTTCGTCGAGAGCGTATCGAAGCTTACACCAAGGGCGGTGGACGTGTTTGTGAAGCCGTACCGCGATCTGCTGCTGCGTATGAGCGAGGGGGATGAGTCTGAGGATAAGGTGCGGAAGCTGAAGAAGACTGTGGCGGAGGTGAAGGACATCGCGCTGGACAACGTGGAGCGCGTTATTCAGCGCGGACAGCGCATTGACGACATTGTCCAGTCGACAGAGGACCTTCAGTTTCAGGCGCAGGGCTTTCAGCGCAGCAGCCGCGACCTCCGACAGCAGCTGTGGTGGAACTCCGTGAAGGGTAAACTTATGATTGGCGGAGTAGCCGCCTTCTTTATTCTGATCGTCCTCTTCGTCTTTTCGTCTGGAGACGGTCAGAATAAATAGAGAGAGGGCGTGGTTGTGCGGGCGGGGGATGCGAGGAAGTGGTGCGAAGAGGCAAGCAGTCGCCGATGGATGATGGAGGAACGAACAGAAAAAAAAACAAGCAAATATATATATATATATATATAAGGCAGAAGCATACACACATAAGGCGACGGTAAATATTGCGCAGTTGCTGTTGTTTGTGGGAGACCTCCTTTTTTTTTTTCGTTTTGTTTTGTTTTCTTCGCTCCTCGTTGGCCACCCGTGCGCTGTGCAGCTGAAAGTGTGTGTGTGTGGGCCCCGTGAGCCGATTGTCTCCGTTGCTGTTTCGTTCCCTCCCATTTCTCTCCCTTCCTCCCGCCTTCATGCAGCAGGTTGCGCGTGGTGTGGATAGCTATTCCTGTTCTTGCTCACCAAACGCTGGGAGTTCCCAGCCCGCCTCCACTAGCGCGTGTCCGGATGCACACACGACTGTTGTGCGCCCCCCACACACGTTGCTACTGGAACTCTCTCACTGTGTGTGTGTGTGTGTGTGTGTGTGTGTCTGTGTCTGTGGTTCTGTATACCTCTGCCATCTTGCGCCTTCCACACATATCCGTCACCCGTTTCCTATCTTTTTATTTCCCTTGGTTCCCCGCATTAAGAAGAACGAGGTGTTGTGCGGCATTCCTGCTGTGAATGCGCGGAGTGCACCCGGCCATTGCAGAGCTCAAGCGGCGCAATCGTGCAGCCGGTCGGCGGCTTTCTCCGCTCGACAGGAAGCCGTCGAACACCATCCCGTCCTCGTCGCCGACACGACAGTACGGACGAACGTCATCGGCAACAGCATCGCACGCCTCTACAGTCAGGCAGCCAGCAAGAAATGGGAGTGACCGTTCCGGTATGGAGTCACGGTTTATGTCCACAGCACCAGTGGAGACTAACGATGGTCGTCAAACAGACAGGAACAGGAACTGCACCAGTAACAATAACAACAACAACAATGGCAACTGGAATTGCGCCCGCAACGCGCCGAGACCCCCACCGAAGCGCGTGCCTACGAAGCCCCGGCCAACAATTGAAGCTAGAACGAGCATAGTTACCCCTCAATGCGAAGGTGAGGCACCCGTTGGTAATGCCACAGCGGTGCGTGAGCGAGGAATGTCTCCGAGCGCAACGCCCAGCAAAATGCGGGATGTTAGCAGGCCGTCGTCCACCCCCACCCCGCTGGTGCCAACGGCTGAGGCATCCGTTTTGCATGGCTCTGGCCAACAACGGCATCAGAAACAGGGACTCTTTTCCAGAAAAGACGATAGCACGTTTAGTGGGTGGGATTTTAAACATCATGCATCCAATGAAGAAGACGAGGTGCAGTCGATTGATGGATACACGAATAGGGCGCACTGGGATGAGCAGCTGCCAGGGCGCGTCCGTGCCGTGCTGGACGGCAATCAGCTTGAGGATCCCTTCGCGACGGATCTGTGGACGAAGACTCAGGGCGGCGAAACGCGCCAGGTTAACTGTTACTACGCCTGCATCCGCTGCGGCGTGCCTGTTGTGTCGCCCAAGTATCAAGTCAAATATGCGGTGCGTGGCATTGCCGCATTTTCACGGCTGAACAAGCGCGCCGTGGAGGTGCGCATCGGCTGCCTCGCTACCGCCACCAACGCCACCGCCGCTGGATCCGCCGCGTTGATGAAAAGGCCCTCACTTCAGTTGCAGGCGCGCTGCCGCTGCTGCGACGGCCTCCTCGGTCTTATTGTCCCCACCGCCGACACGGAATCTGCCACAGCGCCGTGGAACGTGCTTGCCATCAACAGCTGTTGCCTGAAACTCGTCAAGGGCAAACGGACACGCTGCCGCCTTGACGGTGTCTGCGACGGCGAGGACAATGACAAGTGTGGTAACGGCGCCCTTAGTCCACGGTCGCGCGGCAGCGTCGATTATGACTTCGACGACCCGGATATATTCGAGGTGCACAACTCCGAATAGATGTGGTGTTCGGTGGGAGAAGAAAGAAAAAAAAAGAAGCTCAGTGTGTAGGCGCGCCATCCAAAGCGGCAACGCTAATGGGAGAAGGGGCTGCGCCGTATAGTCCTCCCCTTTTCCCCCTCCCCCTCCCCCTCTGCCATGCGCCTACTAATTGTTGTACGTCTCTGTGTGTGTGTGGCGGCGGCGGTGGTGGTGGTACCCGGCGAAGCAAGCGATTCCACGCACTGTTTGAGACGCGGCAAGACCACGTTGTCTGGGGGAGGAGAGAACAACAACAACAACTCACCGTCCGGGTTGAGAAGATTGGCCGAGGTAATAGAAGTGGAATTTGCTTTTTGTGTGTGTTTTGTTCCTCGTATGAGCCACTATTCCCAAGGAAACAAGAAAATATCCCCAGATGTATTTATTCTTTTTTCATTGGTGAATGCTTTGTTGTAGCAACAACACCACTGCATGTTATCGACGACGGTGTGCTTGTTGTTGTGCTTCTTTTTTTTCTTGCGTTTTGTTTTTGTTCGCTTTCTCTGTATGTGTGTGTGTGTGTCTACCACCGTCCGGGCCGTAGTCGTACACAAGAGACGGGCCGGAGTGCCTGTTTTTCATTTCCGCTGATGATGAACGGCAGCAGCAAGTCCTCTACCACAGAGCCTAGCGGTCCTGTCAAGGGTGACGGCACATACACGAGTACCACGGTCTTGCCGTGGGACTCTCTTTGCGAAGACATCATTGGTGCGTACAAGGCCGGGCAGGACATTGTTGTGCTGCAACGCTTCGAGGAGCTGCAGGCGATGCCGGAACTCGACGCACTCGTCAGCGCTCAGCCACCTGACACTGCGACAGGTAGCAGTAGTACTCCAGAAGAGGAAGCTGCTGCTCTGGAGAAAGTGGAGTTTTGCTGGGGACGCGCGCTCCTCGCAGCGAAGCGGATCGCTGGCGGTGACGATGAGCACATCGTGACTATTGTGGAGAGTTTCGAAGAGCGCTTTGAGCGGGCGTCGGATTACCTGCGCGTTCTCGCCATCACAGCCGACAGTGCACTAGAGGTGTTGCGTATCCACCAGCTGGTTGAGGGCCACGTGTCGACGGATGCTGTCACCGCCGCGCTGCACAAATTCCCTACTCTCGACGCCGACGAGATGCGGGAGTTAATTGCATTCCTGCAGCAGAATGACGTTGCGCTCACAAAAAAAGTGGCGGAGCAGCTGGAGAAGCGCTACGTGATGCGAATGAAGTCAGAGGACGCGGAGGATGTCTTTCGCGAGATGCTTGCAGCAGGTGTGGAGCCGGTGTCGACGCGTCCGTACAACTTCATCTTCATGAAGTCGGGCCCGTTCAAGTATATGGGATTACTCAACTACTACGAGGACATGCTTGACCGCGGCATCGTGCCAGAGAACTCTACGTTCCGCATCCTCAGCAAGCAGACGCAGAACGACGGTGTTGCAAACCAGCATTTTAGCTCCCTTGCGTGGGGAAACATGGCGCCACACCGCCGCCACGACGAGGACACGCGCGGCGGTACACAAGCATTCTTTTCACTTCGCCTCGAGGAACTCGCGAGGACAAAGCCAGAAACCTCGCTAGATACCGCGCTGCAGGTTTTTCGCCGCATGGAGGTGGAGGGCACACCGTTGACGAACGGGTCCCCTGTGCTGAGTGTGCTGCTGAGGCTGTTCTGTCGCCAGGGCCACCCAGAGGACACGAAGTTGGTGCTGCGCCTTACTCAGGAGCGCGGCTGCCGCCCAACGAGTGTTACACTGCAAAAGTTGCTGAAGAGTCGAAGTCCAGACCGCTTTAACCAAGCGGAAATTGTTCTACAGAGGGTAGCGGAATCGGGGGAGGTACTTCAGGTGGACTGCGTAGATCTCCTACGTCACTTTGTGGTAAATAACGTGCGCGGCAAGGCTGTGCGTGTGTTTAGCGCCTTCGTTGTGCAAGGGTACCGCCACCCGAATGAACCTGTTCCTTTTGCCATTGCGTCCATGGCAATGAAGTTGGGCCCGTTTGACTGGGCGCTGGGCGTTTTGGCCTTGCTGCTGGCCTCAGTCGACAAGCCGCTCGGTAGAGGTGTACAGTCAAGGATGCGCTACGCCGCGCATGATAGTCGCAGCCGGGAAGTTCTTGCGGTACTGGAGAGGTGCGATTGGAAGCGCGAGCGTCTCCTGTTGGCGGACGAGCTTCAGGACCATGCCAGCGGCAACAGGGATAATAACAGTAACAATAGCAACGGGGTAAATGGGGGTGATGCCACACGGGCGGGGCCCAACATCCACTCGCGTCTCGATGGTGGCCCAACGTGGTTGAGTTCAATGCACGTTGCGTTAAAAGAGATGGGTGTGGAGCATGAGGTAATTGAATCATACAAAACGGCGCTCGTAGGGGCGATTGAGAAGGCGAAGAGGCACCACACCACAGTTTAGCATTTTTTTCCATGTGGCACCTTTTTTTTTTTCGTTTCGTTTCGTATGTGAATGGTGGTATAAAGAGGAGGCACATCCGGTGTTTTGGTATTCAGCGAAAGTGGGGCCAATTCCAACACATTTCTCTTCGCCACTGCCCGTTGGTGTTGCTGCCGCAGCTGTATGGCAGGAGCATACACCCACTCACACGTGCACGCCACCTGCTTGATTCATTCATCCCTTGGACCTGTCGCGTTGGCGGTGGGTGGGGATAAGCAGAAGAAGATGATGAGGGTGGGGGCATAAATAAGAGGAGGACACACAGATGCGATGTTGAGGAGAGACCAAATGGGTTTGCGTAGGAACTCGATGAGCGGAGAAGGAACGAAAAAGGAGAGAGGCGAAGGAAGAAAAAAAAAAGAGGAGGCATAGATTTAAAACAAGAAGTACGCACGTCATATAGGGTCATACGCATTAGCTCGATATATACCTTTGCTCCCGATAGAATGAGGCATCGGGAGAGGGAGAGAGAGAGAGATTGTGTGTCTGTGTGTGGAAGGCAGGGTGGGAGGCGCGGCGGAAGGAAGAGCCAGGCGTAAAAAGAGAAATGTTAAATGCGCGGTGTGCCGCTTCTTCCTTCAACAAGAAGAAGAAGAAAAAAAAATCCCACACACATGCGGATCATGCCACACCATTCCTTTCTCAGGTAGGCGATACCTGGTATATCTGGTATATAGCACACTCTTTCACCCTCCGTTGCTTTGCTTTTCTTTCTCTTGCTCGCACACGCTCTATATGCATCAATATATATATATATATATATATGTGTGGATCGCAGTGGGGGACAAGCGGTGCCGTCATGACGTCTGCGTGTGAAATGTACCGCCGCGAGTGCAGCGCACTTCACATTCCGCCAAACAGTGGGTTGCTGCGCATGCTCCCCGGCGGTAACGCGGATATGAGCGGCGTGACTGTGATGCACTTCGGGCGCAACTTCCTTGGCGACCGCGGCGTCGTGCCGCTGCTCCGCGTGATTGGGCAGGCCACTGCTCTGCACACTCTGAACCTGCGCGATAACGGCATTGGGAACGGCGGCGTCAAGGCCCTCTGCAGCGCGCTGCGGAAACATCCGTCGCTGAAGGTACTCGAGCTGAGTGGTAACCCCTTTACGTATCTCGCGGCGCGTCAGTTGGTCCATCTCTGCGAAGACAGCGGCAGCATCGCGTTCATCGGTGTGGAGAACACACTCATGACGGAAACGCTGAAGGCGAGTATCGTGCGCCGCCTCCAGGAAGCACTGCGGCGGCGTGAAAGCCGGAAGCGCGCGACGCAAGCATCACCGAATGCCGCAGACAGTGCAGCGGCAGCGGCAACACCGCACACGCCTCCCAGACTTGCGGAGGGTGCGGCCGCGTTGCACAGGTTGTCTGCTGGCAGTGCCGTCGACCCCGCGGCGCTGTTCGCGCGCCGGACCCCAAGCGGCCGCTCGACGCACAATGACAGCAGCGGGGAGGTGGCGAGCACGGGGAACCGCGACGTGGCGCTGGAGAGCT